TGTCATAAATTAATACAACTTAAAATAAATTTCATTGTTTTGTAACATAAATATATATACAAATATTTAATCATTTGATATATCTTTGAACATAACTAATTTTTGATTAGATTTATTATTTTCATTAATTAATGCAATTGTTTGTTGTTGTGTTGGTGATGTTGAAGTTAAGTCACAATCAGATATAGCACTATCACCATTTTGACTTACTGGTATCCAAACTATTTGATTATCATTATTTGAATTTGTTCTCATTGTTACTGATAGATTAAAACTTGATGAACGCATTTGTTTTCTATGTCTATAATTATTTGGTTTTTCTCTTGAAGAATTTTGTTTACAACGTGTTAATATTTCAATAATTGTATTATAAAATTCTTCTCTAAAACGTCGATTTGTTAAAACATATAAAAAGAAATTTGTTGTAAAAAATGTTTGTTGTAAAGCATCAAATAATAGACTAATAAACATAATATTACATCGATCTGCATTTGTATTATATAAATGTTTAACAAATGTTTGATGTAAATTAAATGGTAAATTTAATAATAAATAAAGTATATTTAAACTAATAAGCATTGCTGATAAATGTATGTCACGTGTACGTCTTGTTCGATGAGTTTTATTTAATATACCGGTAGTATTTTTTAATGTTGATTGTACTTGATTGTCCTGTGATAAACTTGTTATTGATTGTTGTCGATCAATTGTTTTATTTTCTTCATGATATTTATTTAAACTTCGTGTCGTTCGGCCAATTTTTAAACGAAGATTTGTATGTCGTCGACATTGAATTTGAAAACAAAAACATGAATGTATATTTGTTTTACTTGCTGTTGTTGGTATAAAATAAGATAATATTCTGGAAGATTTTCTTCTTATTATTTTATCTTGAAGATTTGTTTTTGATGGTCGAAATTTTTCAGCTGTACGCATTCTCATACTTAAACTTCTTATAATAAGTATTGTACAAAATATATTAATTAATAGTGGAAGACAAAAGAATACCACTAATTCAAATGGTGGATATATTGTTGTAAGAAAGTAATAATAAATTGTAGTTGTTTGGCTATCGTGAAAATCACATAATACTACTTTTTTTTCACCGTTTGAAACTAAACACAAAAAAAAAACAAGTTTTCTAAGGATGATTAAGTAGAAATAAAAATATCTCTGATGAGGGCGTGGGTTTATGAAATTTAAATTACTCGTTAATTCATCTTAAATACTTTTTCTTTGTTTCAATTAGACAACTAAGAACTATTTTAATTATTTGCAAATATGCATTTCATGTAATCTGACAAGTATTAGCAGAGAAATAGATTTATAAACTCTCAGAAAACGGTTGATAAATCTTTGACAACAAAAGAAAGCAACGTTCTTTATTACCTTCTGAACCATATTTGATAATCCAATGAAAATGAAAGGCACATAAGATACTTGCAACAAGAATTTCTTTCATTAATATTAACTGAAATTTTGATTTTGAATATTTTCTATTTGGATGATTTTTTGTTACTGTTCGAGCTCGATCAATATTAACACATACTAGTGTAAATAAACTAAAATGTGTTAAAAAATCCGATAAAAAACGATTCAAACGACATGTTAGTAAAAAACTTTCAAATGATACATTAAAATAATAGTTAAACATCCATTTCGAAAAATGTACTAATGATAATAAACCATTTGATAAGGATAAAAATGCTAAATAAGCAAATGTTGAGTGACATCGTAACGAACGTTGCATTAGAATAACAAATGCAAGAAAGTTGAATATTGAGCCAAAGAAAAATAACGCATAGTTATGGACAAATAATAATGGTCGAGTAATATTTCGCTGCCTTGGACATGGATTTGCTATTTCTAATGATTCTATCAGTGAATCATTATCAAAAACACTAGTATGATTTGTTATAATCATAATCATTTATTAATTTTCCACTATCTAGAAGAATAATGTAAAGCGTATTTAATTTAATAAAACAAATAAAAAACGTTTTTTTCGTTATTATTATTATTATTAGAAATGTCAGACATTTGTTCATGTTTAAATACAGAATATTACAGTATTATGGATATATATATAGAGCGAGATAGAAAGAACGAGAGAGAGATACGTAGCGGTAATAAGAAGAGAATGACATATTAATAAAAAGAACAAATGAGAATGGCAGGGATAAAAATAGAAACACACCCAGTTTTAAAATCCTCAAATATTAATAATTTTAGAAAGATTTTTAAAGAAATCTTTTTTGTCGAAAATATTTACTATTATATTTCTTGAATAGCTATTATAAGTATTCTTTTAGTGAAAATCATGTTTTTTTCTTGTTTCATTCAAATGTATTAACGCTTTACAAAATATGTAAAGCAATGCTAGACAAGACATTTTTATTTTTCTTATTCTGTTTATTATATGACAAAATAAAAAATTCCTATAGATACATTGAAATAAGTTTATATAGAATCGAACAGACCCAAAACTGAAACCAAGAATTATTAGTCAAATTATGAATCAGATTATTACATCAAAAGCAAAAGCGAGAACAAAACCTAGAGTACAAAAAAACAGCTTTTCTTTGGAATATTAATGAACAAAATTAACATTAATCCTTTTCTTTGAACAAAGAAAGCTAGAAAATTAAAGATGATTCTCAACAGCAGAAAAATGTTCGCTAAAATAAACAATATAATAATACATTTGCCTATATCTCTGTATATGATAACACAAAATATTCGTTATCTAGATTGCATGTTTTACGCAAGCTTGCCTGACTAGTCGTAATTCTCAACATCATCGCCGTCTCAAATATCTTTATTATCAAGTTTAGATACGACGTTCGATTAGGTTTACATATTATGTTCAAGAAAAATGGAAACAAAAAACGAGAGACAGGTCCATTGAGAATGATATCTCACAAGTGTGCTGTTACGTTCGTTTCGATTAAAACATAAGCAGATACTTCATTGTTCTTGCAAACAACAAATACGTAGTGGGAAAAGAACAACACGTTTATTTATAACTTGAAAGTTAATACTAAATATTGTCCTCAGAAAACTTTTGTCCTTTAAATTGATTTGAGTTACCTATTAAACATGCAAACTACTTTTAAATAATAATACTTTTTCATGTGAAAAAAGTATGTTTCTGAATAAATCACACTTGTGATCGTAATCAACAAAAACCATAATGCTCACAAATTCCCCATCCATTTCTTTTCTCATATTTGTGTTTATAATTACCATGAATTCATCAGACATGATAGACAAAGACAGTTGATTCTCAAGCAATCATAATATACTTACAAGATCCATGCCCTAGAGTGCATGTTAAACCGAATTCATTTTATCTGATGAACAGTTTTCTATTTATTATTATGATAAAATCAGACGAATTATAAACTATACAGTTATTATTAAAACTCCGTTTATGCGCAGATCTATCATTTACTTACTTAACACCAATGCAACGGATACGGAAATAGCATTTTTTTTCTTCAACTTGATTGTGTGTTTGTTTGTGTTATGGTAGAAATTATTTCAAAAACGATTAAAAATAAGCATATAATACTGACTGGTGTATTTTCAGCAGGCATATGCACACATTTATTTTTATGTCATACTTCCGATATCGTAGCATCCATCATAACATAAAATGCATGCACGAAAGCCTAATGATAGAGAGAAAAAGAAAAAGGAAAAAGATCGCTCTTTTCTTTTACGTCAAATATATTATTTTTTTATAAATCCAAAAAAAGAGACGATGCTACACAATTACAACCTTTCTCATTTATGAATAGAAAATAGCATAGCCGTTAAAATGAATGTTTAAAATAAGTGCAATTTTGATGGGTAACATCAAAATTGATTATTCAATCGTGATATAGAATAAAAATGAAATGGCATACGGTTTTTTTCTTGATATGAATTATGACAGGAAACACGTCGAGATAGCGTTGAAAGAATTGAGTGCCTCTTACAAATTGAAATTGTAAAGACAGACTATTGAAAAGAATCCACTTCAATAGCAGATATACATCTCAAAACTTCTCTACAATTAAACAACTTATGCGACTGGAACGACGTAATTACAGAAAACTACTTCCAAATATGTAATTTTTTATTAACAATTAATTCATCATTATTTACGATGCTATTGTAAAAATCAAACTTTAAGCAATTTCCTAAATGCATTTGCAATACAATTATCAAAAGAGCAAAAAATTATTTTACATAGCTAAAAGTCAATTATTATTTCATTCTTCTACATAGTAATTTACCTGTTGACAGTCTGATGATGAAACTTATATTTGCGAAGTAAACAAGTAAAAGTCATTGACAAATGTTCTTTCATGGTCAATACTATCTAGTGCTGCACTACCAATTTCTAAACATATACACCAACCAAATTGTAAAATTTATTCATTATTATCAGCGAGGCATTTTTTCTACATACCTTGTTTTTATAAGATACTTATTTAAATGAAACTCGGATGCAATTTCAACTCTCTTATGCTATTATTTTTTTGTCTACTCAATTACAATCCACCAGTTACTATCCGAATATCTATTCAAAGTTTTAAATCTAACTACTAATAGATACAATAATTATACTTACCTGAGATTATTATTATGGCTTAATTTAAAAAAAAAAAACCATTATTCTCTTATAATATTCACTCATACTAATTAAGTGAAACACTTGCAAAAAAAAAACTTCATTTTCATGCTCAATCTATTTTTTTAAAGATTTTTTTAATTGAAAATGTGCTTCTTGTTGAAAAATACATCCTTATGTTAATACCGACAAACACGACATTTGAATAAATCTATTCTTATAATGAAGGCAACTAACAGATACAGTTAAAGTACGATCACGGGAGAAGACAAACAGACGCGCACATAAACTAGACGAACAAACATAATCAGATAAGACAGAAATAAGAAAAAAAAAAATTAACAAATCATTGTCTAGATCAAAGCAATCTAACGTTAAATTATTCAGAACACATAAGATTATTATTATTGTTGTTTCCAATCGATAAATTTAATGGATGATATTTTTGACATCCGTCCCATTGATCACGATTATCATTTGTTGCGTGCTTTGAATCGGGAGATGATGAACCCGATGATGAACCCGATGGTGAATGTTGTTGTTCATGTTCTTCCTGATGAATTTTTTCAATTTTGATATCTTTATAATCATTTGTTGTTGTCCATAGATGCATAAGACGATCAAGATCATGAATTGTATTACTATTTCTTCCTTGTTGTATATTATTAATCATTGTATCATCATCACGTGTAAGTCTTTTACGTTTATTCGGTTGACGACGTTTTAATTCCACAGGGTATTTTTTACGTTCATTACAAAATTTATAATATAATTTTCTTACTAATAATTCAATACTACCAATAACTGAAAGACTATTTGGATGTCGATCAACAAGACGACTAACAATTGAACGTAATTCATCAGCATTTGGATAACTAGAACATAAAAAAAAGAACAAATGAAATATAATGTTTACACTACAGTTAAAACAATACAGTTCATATTTAACAATTTCTTGATACAAAGCTTGAACAAGAGCATTTAATTGATTAGCATCACCATTACCATTTAAAAAAGCAGCTATATGTGGTGGAAAACGTGGAATTGGTATACCATCAGTAGGCTTCGGTAATAAATCATACATAAGATTATGTTGACTAGCTGGTAAATTATCTATTTGATGCATTGGAGACATACTACTCAAAAACAAAAAAAAAAAATTTTACTTCATAATCATATTTATTTTTCATAACTTACGTGCTACCTGCTTCATCATAAGAAGATTTTGATGGTAACTCTTCGTCATGATGATTATCACTAGGTATTGTTTGTAATTGTATAGGTGTTATTGAACGAGTCATTGTTGTGACTGTACTTGATGATATTGGTGTTGTTGGACTCTTAGATGTAACTGACGGTGAATTTCCGGTCGATATTACATCTTTCTCACTATAAAAAAAACAAACAGTTAAACTTCTTTTTTGACATTATATTTTAAAGTAACGATCCTTCTATTGTTAAATGCACATTAAAAATCATCATTTTTTAACTATACTGATTTTATCTCTAGTTATTCTATCAGTAAACAATATAATGTAGACATTTTAAATGAGAAAAATATTTATCTCATCAATATTCAATACATTATTATTTCGCTTTCTAGAAACCATTTTCCACTCAAAATTATTAGCTGAAACCTTTATACAGAATGCCTGAGGACATCCGTTGTCATACTTTTTCTTTCCGCTACTTCATCATATTAGATTTACTCTTTTTAATAATAAGACAAAAGTAAATGACACTTGAAAGAATATAAAGACATGGAATGTTAATATATATTCAAATTGCGTAGGCATGTAACAAGAGACTTACATAAGAATTTGAAGACGCCCATCAAATGGAAGTTTTTTATATGATTCAACATCAATATATTCTTGATATTGGTCATTCCAAATTTGAATAATGATTAATGTTGATTTTGGTATTTGAAATTCTTGCACTGATCACAAAAAAAGATTTTTATGGAAAAACAACAAATAAAACTTTCTTTTTTTTTACTTAGTAATTGTTTGAGATGTTCATGTGATATACCATTTTGTTGATTATAATATTCACTTGTTGTTGGTACTTCTATTAAACGATTTCGTTGATTAAATCGACATAAATACGTCATTGATGTGGATCTAAAATATAAATTGGAGTTTTTATTGTTTTTTTTTGTTTTTGACGATTTAATTTCTACCGTTTTGTTGCATTTTGTGTTTTTAAAATAGATAAATTATTAAATGAAGATGAATTATCAGCAAATAATGAAGTATTTTGCACGTTACTTTGTGAATTATTATTATTTAATGTTTGATAATATTGAAGTAATGCAGCAACATGATCTCTATCAACTGGTTTTAATGCAGCAGCTAGACGAAGATTTAATGCTTTTTGTTGTTGACTTAAATTTGTATCATTTGGAATATTTTCTTTTATTGATGATGTTGATGGAAGTGGAGGTGGTGTTGATACTTGTGAATTATTATTATTATTATTATTATTTGCGAGTGCATTTAAAGTTTTCGTTATTAATAAATGATTTGTAATAGAACTTAACTCACGCATTGGTTTTTTAGTATTTAATAATGATGGTGGTGATGTTGATGACATATTTTTCTTTTGTTGTTAAAGTTGTTTTATGTTCAACACAATAAGATGTTACATGTAGTAGAATAGCAGATGGAAGTGAAAGAAGAAGAAATTTGTCAAATATGTATTATATGGACGGACGAAAAAGGAAAAAAAAAACGAAACATAACTGACGTAAACGGTCAACTTGTGCATATAACCGTATAGACAATGACGAGAGAACACCAATGATCATATTGGCGTCTTTTGTTTTCAATAAAACAATGTGCGTATATATATAGTTTAAGAAAAAGAAGAAAAGAATGTTTAAAGTCTACCGATTGTTTTTTTATTCTGATTGGTAGTGACTGACGAAGATTTTAAGTGAAACAAGAGGAGAATGCCTTTTGTTATACAATTTAAATCGTTGTTCAAATATAAACATTGTTGTCTTTAAAAAGATTATTTGCCTAATATGATTATAGAATTAAATCAAAGAATCACACGGAAATTGAGAATGTACGCTTTTGGAATATCAATGTTTTCATTTGAAACAACTGTGTCATTATGCATAAGAGATAAAACTTTCAAATGTCTTAGAAATTTGCGTAATTGAGACAAATATGACACTTCGAGATACTTTATGGTTCTTTCTTTTTGACAAATAGTAATATGATGTTTTAAATAAAAGAAAACTAGACTTGAAGTATCTTGTTGATCTAGATATAGCTTTCAGATTTGTCTAAAAAATTTAATGCAAATCATGAGAGAATTATTGCATTTTTATCGACGCAATAGAACAGACAGTTTATTCTTTTGTACTAGTTTAATGCTTTATTTTTTATTCATTCCAAATGACAATAATGTCATATATATATATTTTAAATCGAATATAAAAAGAAATAGAAATTGACATAGTATTCTAATGAAATTTACTATAAATTTTTCATATTAACACAATAAATATTCATTGTTATTCATTGGTTGAAATAAAAACTTTTTATGAGTTTATAGAGGATTTGTATTGTTCAATAGAATAAAAAAAGGATCTATTGAATATATTTTTGGTTCTTATTCATCACTAAACGTTCAATGGAATTGAATAACTTTGTTTTCATTCAAATATTAAAAAATATCATGCACAGGAAATAACAAATAAATCAGACAATTTAATACATTCGTCATCATCTGTGTTACATGACTATACTAGTAGAACTGTGTGTTATAGTGAAATCATAAAATAATGATCGATGAATAATAAAACAACAGAAGGAGCATAAATAGATCATCATATTATGCACAAATACTAATCGTAATGTTTAAGTAGAAAGTGAATAATATTGGACTGAACTAACTACAAACTTTGGTTGCTCTCTCGAATCATCATTAGCAATGCTTTGTTTTTAATTCAAATCTAACAGAGAGAGAGCCATAAGTGCAATAAGAACTTTGAAAGTCACAATTACTTATCATCAGCAAAATGTGCTCAAAGAAGAGCAGACATAAGCAGATGTTGTTAATTATAATTGTTAATTAACAAGGTCTTGTCGAACTTATTGTTGTCATCATTAATTGTGAACTTAAAATAAATATCTTCCTAATGAAGATGACCTCGAAGAGAAACAAAATCTTGAATCAAATGAAGATCCACAAGAAATAAAATTTGTCCTATTTCATTTTTATGTTTTTCAAACTATTATGGCTTTCATTTTTTTTCACTCTCAAGTCCATTTAGCTCTTTTACTACTTTTAATCTCATTAAAAAGTGAGAGTACGAAAAATACCTACACCCCAATCACATCTACATCTGCACACTAGAAGGACTTAAGAGACTATCAGGATTAAAGAGACTAAAATACTTTTACAGCTTCAAAAGATATGTAAGCATAAAAGTAAAAGGTCATAAATTTGATATCTTTTAGACCTATGAATGACTTGTCATTGACTAGTTCACTAAAATGTTATTTGTGGTATTTATGTGCTACATACTTAAACTTTTACTGTCAATAATGAGAACTTCATTTATCTTGATTTTAAATGTATATGTGTTTGAATCTATTTTAGGCAGATTTTGGAAATGTTTAACAATACTTAAAATAAATATGATTTAATTTATTTCTTTTTTCATCTAACAATTGATACCAACAAAATTTCGATGAGTTACTGCTATTGAAGATAAACCTGTATGAATTATATAACGTTTTGATTTATGAGCTACTTGAATATTCGAATGGCTAGTGATTAACTACTGTTGAACAGTATTAGTAAATGATTTTTTTGTTTTATTTTGTTGAAATAGAATTAGATTTAGTCAATCAACTGTTTTGAATATGACTTATGTGTTAAGAAATGATGAAACGAATATTCATCATTATTGATAATGAACTAATTCCAATTCCAATAATATTATTGATAGAATATGATGAAAAAATATTAATATCTCGTTTTGTTTGTTAATAGAATCAGTTGTTTTCGTAATGGTTATTAGTAAGATTATCGTGAAAATAGTTCGTATGGTTGCTATCCATATAAGAGTTCATAATGAAAAGTTTAATAGCAAATCAATGAATGATTTACTGTTCCATTTTTATGTTGTTGTCTTCCTTGATTCAGAAATAATGAATTGAATCAAGAACAGGTAATGTCATCACATAGAAACTAATGATTGTTATTGTAAAATGAAGAACACAATTTATTCCATTAAGATATATCAACATAGATAAATTAACTATTGATCGATCAATACAAGAACATTTCTTGACTTGAATTCTATCAAATATATGTATATCAATCAAAAGTCATTTTTAGTAACATTGATTTTAATGTGATAAGTAAGACTGAGATAAAGTTGCATAATTGATAACATAGTTACAAGTGGTGCTTGGTTATATCAGCCATTTAAGCATTGATAAGTGTTTAGTTCTGTAACTACGAACCATGTTCCTCAACCTATTACTATTGTAAACTAAGCAGATCTTGTAAACACGGCTCGAAAAAATTAGAATTAGGTGGTACATGTATTTTGAATTGTTCTTTACCATTAGTACATTTTTCTTGGCTATTAAAATGAGATGTCATGACTGAGTCACTACAGTATTCAACACGTATTCACAAGGAACTCTGCGTAAAACTTAGTATCACAAGCCATGGTATGATCCTGGACAAATCATTAACAACTGTTGATCTCGTATCACCCGTCCGATAGCATGTTGACTACGTTGAGGCATACGCATGTACTCGTGGTTAGTTTGAGTATATTGGAAGCTCAAGAATTCTGCGTCAAACTGGTCTTGTGTTCAGTTCTACAGCTAGTATCAGTTCTAGGAAAGATATTAGACTAATGAATCTGTCCCTAGACAGCATTCCATATCGCAAAGTAGCTGAGAAGTAGAGTTATTATTTCTTCTTTCCTAATGAACTATGTATACTAATATTTAATGAATAAGGTAAAACAATTGAAGAGCAGCACGATAGAAAGCGTAATCGTAATAGAATTTATTGCACGCCACATAATCATTAAACTACAATAATGAGCACGCGATACAATAGTAATCGATACAAGGAAAATCAATGCTATGCTTGTCAATTTCATCAAAATACATTTAATGATAATTATGAAAAATAAGCATGTATTTTTTTCTTGATTTTTGATCAGAAACATAAGAGTACATCAAATATATATATAATCATTACAAATGCCTACGAGAATTTTCTATTTTTATTGTAAAGTTAAAGAAATGAAATTCATAATAGAAAAAAATGTACTTGTACGATTTCAACATATTATAAATCAAAAAAAAACAAATCGAATGAGAGTATGAGCAAGAAAAATAATATTTACAATATATACATATTTACTAATGAATGATCTTTTCCATTTGGTATTAACGTTAAAAACAATAATATTGTTAACTAAGCTAATGTGTATTCTTTAGATGTATTCTGCTGTTTGTCTTCATCTATTAAAGAGTTTACATTGCTCTATTGTATTGAATAAAAAGTTGGTTGAGGTAAAAGCAAACACTAAGATCAATTGATCTGATTTCCTTTTCGATGAATTGTAAGAATTCAATAAATATACAACAATCGTAATGTGATAAAAACAAATAGTCATTATTTGTTAATCTAAAAAAGATTATGTACAACATTATAGTTCTTCTTTCTGAATAAATCTGTGGCTATTATGAAAGAACAACGAAAAAAACAACAATCGAAAATTTTCAAAAAGACTTCAGTTGTTTTTTTTTTCTCTTAATTATTATTAGATATGACAATATTATGATAATTGATAAACATATTGAACTGGTTAAAAGCAATAACAATATCTTCCCTATTCTAAATATTGATTGAAAACCTTTGGATGTCTTTTGTTTGTTTTTGATTAGAAGGAACATATGTTTCATTTACATGGTATCATATTGAGTCTATATATAGTAATCAATAAAGGTAATTTTATAAATCATTAAGTACATTTCAGTGAAATTTTCTTATGAATATTGTAATTATTATTGTCATTGAATAAACATTTCTTCTAGAACTTTAATTCCAAATTTTTAAAATTTCAGTCAATAGTATAATTTTTCGATGTAAGATAAATATTGATTTAATTATAGTTTCGTAATGAATTGATTTATGTATTGTGTTGAATAGTTTCGAGGATTTTCAATCGACTTTATCGGATAGTTAAAAGGCCATCTAACCAATATTTATTTCTATTTGATCAAGAGTCTCTTTTTTTTTTCTTCTGTCTAATTGTCACTAAGACAGACTATTCTTCTGTCTCGATGTGATCAATACAAATACACATCGAAGCGGTATGTTTTGTTGATAAGCTTTTGCGTGAGGATTAACGTATGTCTCCGCCTCACCTTTTTTCTCACTCGATTCGTTCATACATGATAAACGTACATCAAGTACTTTCAACAAGACAATATATATATATGGACAAGTTGTGACAGCTATATTATCAATATAATTTATACAGGTTAATATATAAAATGATGCATGCATACTTAATTTTTTTTGCATGATATACATAGAAT